GAAGGGTCCCAGGTTCGATTCCGGTCAAGGGCATGTACCTTGGTTGCGGGCACATCCCCGGTGGGGGGTGTGCAGGAGGCAGCTGATTGATGATTCGTTCTCATCGATGTTTCTGACTCTGTCCCTCTCTCTTCCTCTTTGTAAAAAAATCAATAAAATATATTTTATAATTAATAAGTAAGTAAATAAATAAATAAAATGTCGGATGTAGGTCATTTTTTCTGACAGCTAATGGGTCTTCTGTGTCCCAGGCTGGACCTGGGCCTTGGATCCTGGGTGCCTGTTAAGTCTGGGGTGGGGGTTAGGGCAGGATGGTGGTGGTGAAAACAGGGAACATCTGGTTTCCAGGAAGGGTCAGAGGTCAGGGTTCAAGTTAGGCCCATTGCTGATGGACATTAGAGGTCGGAACCCCAGGATGCCGTTTCCCACCGTGGGTGTCATGTGGGGCCCTGCGTGAGACAGTGAACTCCCCTTGTTGAACCCTCAGCCCCGCTCACAGGGGAGGAAACCGCCTCCAGAGGTCCCAGCTGGTCAGCAGCGAGCTTGAGACCGACTGACCACCTGCCTGCCCAGGTGTGCTGCCTGTCACCTCCCACGACAGCCCCCACGGGGACAGCCCCCCACGGGGACAGCCCCCACGGGGACAGCCCCCACGGGGACAGCCCACAGGCGTTTGGAGCCTTGCCTGGCTGCCTGGGGAGCTGTTCCAGCTGCTGTGTGAGAAGGACCTCGGTGTGACCTTGCGAGGCTTCTTTCCTATTGGGCCATGGAGCAGTGGGAGGGGCCCTTTAAGCCTGGCACACTCCCCGGGCACACTCCCCGTGCTTGCTGTTCCCTCTGCTGTCCCCCCCCCTTGCTCGGCTTCTCCAGACACCCCCGTGCCACCCAAAGATCCACCTCCACATACACACACTCACACACACACTCACACACTCACAGACACATTCACACACACACCCATTCACACACACACACACACACTCACAGACACATTCAAACACACACCCATACACACACACACACATACACACACACTCACAGACACATTCACACACACACACACACACTCTCTCTCACATACACACACTCAGACACATTCACACACACACACATACTCACACACACACACACACACACTCACACACACACATACATACACACACACTCACACACACACATACTCACACACACACACGCGCGCGCACACACACACACTCACACACACACACACACACACACACACACCCCATACTGTTGGCACTTCCCTCCTCCGCGCCACTGCCCCCCGCAGAAGCTGAGGGACTGTGGGTTTTCACTCCAGAAGACGAGCCTTTCCCAGCTGGCCTACGTGCCTGGTTGTGGACCTCTGGGGTCCTGTCCACGCACCCAGGCTGGGTGCCCTCCTTGGTCTGTGAACTCCGTGCCCACTCGTTCTTCTCTCTCAGCACCCAGTGGGTGCCTGGCCCAGGGAGCAGGTCATGGTGTCTGACAAGCTGTGTGGCTGGCTTCCCGTGTGCACGTGGCTTGGGCCACAGGCAGGACACAGCAGTCATCTGGTGAGGGCCCTGTGATGGGGTGCCGACGGGGCCCCCCAGCCTGTGCTGAGGAGTGAGCCCTCGTTCCACTGCCAGACACCTCGCCAGGGGGGACCCTCGGCCTTGTCTTCACCCGCCTCCAGACTCCAGGCACAGGCTCGCCCCGCGGCCTGAAAGCCACCACTCCCTTTTGTTCCCTGAGTGCCACCGCCTTTTCAGTGCCCGGCACCTCCCGCTCCATCGCCTCAGAGACTCGGGCGCCCCGGGTCCCACCCACTGCCACCCACCCGTCCCGGCTCTTGTCTGCAGCCCCGTCCCCAGCTTCCTGCTGGCCTCCAGCCTCCAGCCCCTGCGGGGCTCCCTCCACTGAGCCCCTCGGAGAGCAGTGACCCTCTGCCGCCTCCGCGGCTGCTGCTTGGGGAAGCGCCGAGTGGGGAATCAGATCTGCCCCGTGCAGACTGTCTGGCAACAGGAGTTACACCCTGCGCCCGGCTGCGGTCGCAGCGAGAGAGCAGGTGAGCGGGAGAAAGTGAAAGCTCAACACTACTTTTGCAGACACAGTCTGGCCTGTTGTCCGGAAGCATCTCTGCAGCCCTTTCCTTCCTGTCCCGGCCAGCTCCCCTGCCCTCACCCTCGGGGTCTGCTGCCTGTCCACCAGCTGCAGGCCTTCTCCTTAGCCCAGGCCGTTTCTGCACCAGGCTGCTCGCCCGCTTCATAGACGAGACGGTCCCAGCACGGCCGCTGAAGCACTGCTTCCCCCTGCGTGTGCCCCCGGAGGCAGTGTCAGGCCCACGGGCACCGGTGGGTGAGAGAAGCATTTGTCCTCCAGCAGCACACTGAGTGCCAGGGCCCAGGGCCAGCGCCCTGCAGCCTGCCCAGCAGGGTCAGGCCTCCTTCCTCCCTCCCCCAGACCCGGGCAGTAGAGAGGGGCAGGTCTGTGCCAGCCTTGGAGGTGGTGCGGGAGAAGAAAGAAGAGCAGGCCTGGGAAGGAAGGAGAGGCACAGATGGGGGGGTTAAGGGGGCGTTAGGCAGTGAGTTGCATTTAAGGGTCTCGGGTGGGGTGTCTACATCCCCCGAGATTCTGTGCCCTCAGCTCGCCTGCCTGTGCTCCTCCCACGGGCGTCCCCAGGTCTGAGTGCACACGCCCGCTCTGAAGGTGAGAGCCTGGGCGAGGGTGGGGTCGGGCTGTTTCTAGAAGCCAAGTGCCACTGTCGACTCTCATCCCCTGGTGAGGGTGCAGGGGTCGGAGGGACCTCTGTGACGCGGGCAAATCCTTCCCCTTGTCTGACAGCCTCTTGTCAGGCCCCTGCGGAATGGAGGGACCTGAGGGCGGTCGTCCTGCCAGCCCTTCTGCTCTGAGCCTGAGCCTCCGGGCTGGGGGCTGGGGCCGGTGTGACTGCTGCCCCGTCCCAGGCAGGGAGGCTCCCGCCTTGTGCCCGAGGCCAGCAGCGCTCAAAGCTGTCCTGTCTGCACGCCGTTCGGCGGGGAGCTGGGGAGCCCCGTGCCCGCATTGTGGCCTGTTTCTCTGGTCCTGCCCTCGCCCACGCGCGCATCTTCATGGTGCTCCTGGCACAGCACCCAGCCTGGGGCCCTCCTGACCCTCAGCCTGTCTGCAGAGCTAATGCTGCACGCCACCCACCCAACTGCTGGGCCTTTAAAAGTGTTCTTTCGATAGCTGGGTGTTTCCCGTTTTATTAATGAGTAACTCGGCCTTTGCCAGGCACTCGAGTGTCTCTGGGATTCCAGGTAGTGGCAGCCACGGCTGCTGAGTGGCCCTTGCTCAGGGCTGGAAGGGACATGGTGTTTGCAAAGGCTGTTCCCGCAGTCCCCGCCTCTGCCAGCCGGCCCAGCTTCGCCCTGTGGAAGGGAGCCTTGGCGGTGTGTGTGTGTGTGTGTGTGTGTGTGTGTGTGTGTTTGCCCAGCAGCACGTTCGGGGGAAAGCCGAGCCTCCTCTTCGCTTCCACTTGGTCCTTCCCCTTGGCAAGCACCTCTGGCCTGGCCGTTGGGGAGTGGCAAGCAGCGGCGGCGGGAGCTTTGTTCGAATGGCCTGCTTCTGGGTGGGGTCAGGCCCAGCAGCCCTGGGGCCGGCGAGAAGCCCAGCTTCTCCATTCTGAGGGCCCTCATTCCCTCCTTGGCCTTCCCCTGAATGCCTCGCCTAGCAGGGTGGGCAGGCTCCTGGAGAGGCCTCTGGTCCTCCCTCCCTCCCTCAGCACCCACTCCCCTCTCCTCCTCTCTGTGTCAGCCCCACCTGCCTGACAGCCTCCGGGCAATCGCCCTCCCCTTCCCCTTCCCTTCCCCTTCGCAGCTACCCCGTCACCCTGTCACCTGTGTGTGCTTCAGGCCACGCCCCCTTTGCTCCCCTCCCTCCTGGAATGTCCTCCTTCCTCCTTCCTCCTGCCTCCTGCCTCCTGTCCCGCCCGCCCGCCCGCCCCCGCCCTCCATAGAGCCCCCTCCCCCTGGAACCGAGGTGACCTCATTCCTGCTGCCTGTCCCAGAGACCGGGCTGGGGGCTGAGCGGGGGATCTCAGTCTGCTCGCCCTCAGCTCCAGCCCTGGGCCAGGCCTCCAGCCTGGCTTCGTGTCCGCTCCACCGTGTGGGCTGGGTGTGGCGGGTCTCTCGCGCTCGGGGTTTGGTGAACGCTGCAGGAAGTGACTCAAAGCCCGGCACTCCTCGGAGCACACAGGCAGACAGCGTCAGGTCTGATTGTGTGTCCGTGCCAGCCTGCCCTTATCCTCGCCACCGCTGTCCCTCAGAGCAGCCTTCGGCGGGCCAAGGCAGGTCCTTAGACGTGGCACCGACTCCCCCGTGCAGGCAGATCCTGGACGGGCTCCGTGCTGGAGCCTCTCACAAGCTCCGAGGGCAGGTCACGCAATCGGACAGACGTGTGGCCGTTGTGTGCGGGGGAGGCTGACCTCAGGGCAGGAGTCACGGGGCGCGGGGAGCCCAGCAGAGCTGCCGGCGGCCAGGGCCGCCACGGGAGTGACCTCTGGCCTCAGAGGCCGGGCAGCAGGGAGACGGGCCTGCAGCTTTCCCGCAGAACTTTCAGCTGGCTCCCCTCCTTTCCCCGAGGTCCTGCAGGGGAGTGGTGCAGCCTGGTCTGAGGCGGAACCAGAGGTGCTTCTGGAAGGGCGGTCGGCCTGGCCTCCCCGATGCTCTCCCAGCTCAGAGGTGGCTCTTCACACCAGGACGGTGCTGTGGCCTGCCAGCCCGAGCCTCTGAGCGACCAGCTGCCTTCTCCCACCTGAGGCTCCTGGCTCCGGGGAGTGGTCTGGGCCTGGGCCTGGGCCTCACTGGGTGGTGGGTTTTGAATTCTGGGAGTTGAGGGCGAGGAGGGAGGCATCAGTGCGGAGGCTGGAGCTCCTGCCTGGGTGTCTGCCTCCCGAGGTCTAGTCCTCATTCGCCGCCAGCTGTGGCTGGAAGTAGGAACATTCATCTGAGCAGCTGGTTCTCTCCCTTCCTTTGCAGGACAAGGAAGATGCGGAGCCCAAGACCAAGCAGCTTAGAGAAGGGGAGGAGGAGGGCGAGAAGCACAGGTAATGCCTGCTGGCAGCTCCCAGCCTCCTCTCCTCGGCCCCCACTCTGCGCTCAGCCTCTGCCACCCCCCCCCCCCCCCCCCCCCCGTGCTGCCGGTCAGACCCGCACCGCCTCCCTTGTCCCTGGCTGGAGCCTGCTGCGCCCGTCCCCACTGGCCCTCTGACCCGGCACCGGCCTTCTCTGCTGACCCCACATCATGTCTCCTCGCTCTCCACGCCCTCGCGTGGCTCGGCCCTGCAGCACCCGCAGGCGGCTCCCAGCCTCCCTGTGTGAGTGAGCGGGGCCAGCGGGCTGGGCCGCCTCCTGTCCCCTCGGCCACGGCACCCCGTTTCCCGACAGTCCCCCGCGCTGTCCCCGACGCTCGGCCTTCCTCTTTCCGTCTCTGTCCTGCTGACCCCTTGGTAGCTCACCTGCAGTATGTGCTCCTATTCTGCCAAATCCCATCACCTGGTTGAGCAGCTTAAGCTGCCTACACAAGGCTCCCTCCCCCGTGGTTGCAGGCACGTGAGCTGGAGCCTCCAACAGAGATTCTGGGACAGGTTTCGGAAGCAGTGTGGGGCGGGAGGGACGTGTGTGGGGCGGGAGGGATGTGAGCCGGGGTAGCTTCATGTCTGTTAGCATTTCCCGCCCAGCCTGAGCTCTGCTTGAGCCAGACCTGGAGTCTGCAGTGGCCTCTGGAGGGAGGGGGTAGATCTTGGGGCCCAGAGAAAGCTGGCCTCTGTGGGCTGTTGGATGGGGTGTGTGTGTGTGTGTGTGTGTGTGTGTGTGCGCGCGCGCGCGCGCGCGCGCGCGCACAGGAGGGGAGGGATGCGCCCTGGGCTGGGCCGGCACTGGGAGCAGGCTTCCCTCTGCTGCCTTCACCAGAGTAAGTGGAACCCTCCCAGGCCAGGCCCCTCCTCCGCCCCATTCAGAAGCCCATCTCAGAGGAGCTGGGCCTTTTCAAGTTAACGGGGTGGGGAGGGGGTGCCTGCTCCTGACTCGGCCCTTTAGCCAGTGTGTTCACACCGTCCTTAGGCGGTCACCTTGCTTCTGTGAGCCTCTTCCCCTGCATGTCTTCAACGGAGAGATTGGAAACAAACGCTTCCCTCCTGGGGATGGAGCCACAGCTGTTACCTGGCTGGGCTGGGGGCTGGGGGCTGGGGGCAGGGGCTGGGGCTGGGGCTGGCTGGGCGGGGGCTGGGGACTGGGGGCGGGGGCTGGGCTGGGGACTGGGGGCGGGGGCTGGGGGGTGGGGGCTGGGGGCTGGGGGCGGGGTCTGGGGACTAGGGGCGGGGGCTGGGGGTGGGGGCTGGGGTCTGGGGGCGGGGTCTGGGGACTAGGGGCGGGGGGTGGGGGCTGGGGGCTGGGCGGGGGCTGGGCTGGGGCTGGGGGTGGGGCTGGGCTGGGGCTGGGCTGGGGCTGGGGCTTTGGCAGAAGGAGGAAACTTAGGGGCCCCTGAGAGCTGAGGGCTCCAGGCACACCCGGAAAAGGCGGAGTTGACTTGTGTGTGAGGTCTTTGCTAACTTTGCAAAGGGGACAGGAGTTGGGAGAACTGCGAGGTGGGCAGGTGAGGGTAGAAATAAGCCCATGTGAACAACAAGCCCCCTGTCCGAGCGGGTGGTCAGGGCCTCGTGGACCCTCCCTCACGTGCACAGCAGATGCCCCCGGCAAACGGGCGTCGAGCGCTGGCCCCCGGCTCCCCCCACCACGTGCTGGGCGCGCCCCGCCTTCCTCTGCCCGGCGCCTGCCCCGTGAGACTTCGGGTCCCTGCTGCCACGCTCCTTTGCCTTTCCTTGTAGCTGTAGAACCCGCTCGTTAACGTTTATGGAAAGGCTTGTAGGATTTTGATGGGAATTGCATGGTTTTTTAGAATAAATTTCTTTTTAGAGTTTTATTGCTCCCTTTGGGATAAGTCCTGCCCCGTCCTCACAGCCAGATCCCCAAGGTCCGCTGGCCAGCTCCACTCCGGGAAGGAAAGACGTCCCACCCCCAGGAGGGCCCGCCTCTCCTCTGGGCTGGGCCTGCCGTCCTGTGGCTTATTCTGCAGGTACCCAGGCCCCCTCCACCCCAGCCCTCCCCACCTTCGCCCTCAGTGCTGCCCAGAGGGAGGTGCTCTTGCCTCTGTCCACAGGCCCGCTTGTTGTTAAGCCACCTGTCCGGTGTCCTAATGTACAATAGAAGGGTGACCGCCGTCTGTGATGTGGGGCCCTGGGAAGTGGCCTGCAGAGGGCTGTGTAGCTGCTTTGCTTTCTAAGCCTCAGTCACTTCCTCCCGGAGGCAGGTCGCTGATCAGGGCGTGGAGGCGTGTCCAGTCGGGCTTGTGATTGAGGAGAGGGAGGTGTGGGCACCTTGGGGAAGGGGCCAGGGACATGTCTTGTTGGGCGCTGAACAAGCAGCCCCTCACCCTCATCCACAGCCGCCTCCCGCTGGCTTTGGACATGTCTCCCAGCTGGAGCGGTCACTGTCAGGACGGCGGCTCCCCTGGGAGGCTGTCACATCCTGGAGAAAGCGGCACTAACCTGCTTTCTCCGGACGGAAACCGGTTCTCCAGCTCCATGTGGAGAGGTTCCCGCCCAGCTGAGGCCCAGCCCAGCCCTGGCCTGGCGCCCAAACCCTTTAGGCTGGCAAATGCAGGCCCTCTCTCCCTGCGGGTGGGGTCCCGGGATGGTGTCTGAAGCAGGGTGTGCTCACTGGCAGATCCTGACGTCAGCCTGACTGGGCAAACATCGCCCACTCCAGTGGTGCCTCCAGAGCGGCTCCCTCCCGCCTCCTGCTCCAGGTCAGGGAGTCCCAGCGTGGGCAGGGGTGGACTGTGGGCAGGGGCGTGGGCAGGGCCAGACTGTGGGCAGGGGCGTGGGCAGGGCCGGACTGTGGGCAGGGGCGTGGGCAGGACCAGACCGTGGGCAGGGGCGTGGGCAGGGGTGTGGGCAGGGGCGGACCGTGGGCAGGGCCGGACCGTGGGCAGGGGCGTGGGCAGGGCCGGACTGTGGGCAGGGGCGTGGGCAGGGCGGGACTGTGGGCAGGGCCGGACCGTGGGCAGGGGCGTGGGCAGGGGTGGACTGTGGGCAGGGGCGTGGACAGGGCCAGACTGTGGGCAGGGGCGTGGGCAGGGCTGGACCGTGGGCAGGGGCGTGGGCAGGGCCGGACCGTGGGCAGGGGCGTGGGCAGGGCCGGACCGTGGCTCCAGGATTTGTGCTGAGGAGCAGCTCAGACATGTGCTGTCACCCTGTTTTTCCTGATCCTGGTGCTCAGGAGGAGGCCCAGGATGTGGGCGACTGAATCGAGAGAGGACTGGTTTCATGATGGTGTGTCATGGCGGCGTGGGCAGCAGACTGACCCTGTGACTGGGGAGGGGAGGGGACTGGTCCGCTGCCTGGAAACGAGTTTGGGTCTTGTGTGTCAGGGCCTGGTGCTGCCAGCGCCCTCTCGTCAGACTGTCCCTGGGGGTGGGTGTGTCCACCTGAGGTGAGAAACCACACTCAGGCGGAGACGCCTCGAAGGCCTCCCCTCGGGAGGGAGAGGAGCCCCCGGACCCCCATCCGATGGAGAACAGGGAGCCCACACGGGGACCCCATTCCTGTCCTCGGAGTGACCATGACAGCCGCGGGCCGAGCATTTCCGAGGGCTCTGAGGTCAGGCCGCAGCCATGGTGGGGAGTGTGCCGCGCCTCGCCGGGCTCCGGGCTTGTTCTCGTTGGGCAGGCGGTGTCTCCACGTGCCGGCCTAGGCCGACAGGCAGAGCCAGCAGGCTGCGGGGCGGTGTCCGGAGGAGCTGCGTCTGCTCTGTGAGCCGTTCCTGGACCGGGGTTTCCATCGCTGGTGGGAGAAGTCGGCTGGCGGCCCGTTTCTGCCTGGCGGCCCGTGTCTGTCTAGGCATCCGCCCCAGTTCGGTAGTCGGACAGGCCTGTCTGGGGCCGTTCTTTGGCGCGCGTGGTGTTCTCTGGCCCGGGCTTGATGTGTTCCCTCCTGTAAAAAGCTCTCTGTCGCGCTCTCCTTCTGCCTCGGGACTGGGAGTCCACGGATGCCAGGCCTTTCGATGGCGTTGCATGTGTCTCCCAGGCTCTCTTCGGCCGGTCCCAGCTGCTCCTGCCTCAGTCGGCCGTTCTCTGGCCGGTCTGACCGCTCACTAGCCCTTCGTTTGCAGGTGCCCTGACGACTGCTGAACTCATCTAGTGCGTCCTTAATGGGGTTGTACTTCAGTTATAGAGTTCCCATTTGATTAACTTTTACAGTTTTGGTTGTCTGCTGAAATTCTCCACCTTGTGGTTTAGCTTCCTGAACTTTTCTTGTGTTAATTATCTTACATTTCATTTCTGGTCATTCCAATATTCGGATCACCCACAAGTGCGCTTATGTTGTCTTTATTTTTTCTCATGGCTCTGATTGAATCCTGCATGTCAGGTGTGAAAAGTTTTAGAGATAATTTGAGGTTCTGGATAATTTTATTTCCTAGAGCAGCGATTTTTAACCATTTTTATCTCATGGCACACATAAATTAATTATAAAATTCTGTCTCACACCAAAAAAATATATTATTTTTCACTGATCTGACAAAAAAAATAGGTATAATTTTTATTCATTCACATTGGACCACTATTGCTGTGTTGCTGTTGTCATTTTTCTGTTTGAAAATCTAAGGAGAAAGGCCAGTGCTCCTGACTAAGCAGCCAGGTGCTGCGTATGTTGGCATGCCTGCAGCGCCGGTCGAAATTGCTGCTCTGGAGAGAATTGCTCCAGCTGCAGCGGGCAGTGGGCAGGGTTTGGAGAGGGTGCAGGCTGGGCTGAGGGACACCTAGGTGTTCGATTGCTTGGATAGTGCCCAGCTCCAGGGCGAGGGACAGTGGGCGCTGGGGACTGCCTGGCGGCTCTCCCCGGCTCCCGTGTCCTCCCGCCCTCCGTCCAGCCGCTCTGCTGAGTGCCGCTCAGGGTCCCGGCCCCCCCGCCGGACTCTCCTGATTTCTCTCAGAACCTGGAGCCAGTTTGAGAGTGACAGTGTTTTTCCCACAGATCCCTGCAGTTTCCCACACCCAGTTTCTCTTCTGCTTTCTCCCCACCCTGTGGTGAGGGGAAGCCAGTGCGGGTCACGCCCACTGCAACCTGCCTTCCCACCTTGGGGATCGAGTCTGCAACCCGGGCGTGTGCCCTGGATCAAAACTGAACCCGGGCCTTTCAGTCCGCAAGCGGACGCTCAGACCACAGACGCCAGCTCAGGCTCAGTGGCTCCTTACTACGCAGCCCAGAGCTCTCTGCCCCCTGGGGGGCCGTCCGGGGGGGGGGGCCGGAGGACTGCCCAGCCGGTGCTGGCGCAGCTGCCCGGGTGCGGAGACAGCGGAGGGGACGGGGCCCCTGCACTGGCATCCCCGTGTGCCTGGCCCCTCGTGGTTCCCCTCTCAGGTCAGGCTCTGCATCTGGACGTGGCTGCCGCAGTGTCTGCCACACCCAGCACAGAGCTGAGGGACGATGTCCCGGGGCCCGGGCACGAAGGCCCAGGCGGAGGCCAGGCTGGGAGCCGTGGTGAGACCAGCTGTCTCTGAGGAGTAACTCAGCAGGGCTTTGCTGTGTGACCCTCAAACCGGCCGCCTCTGACCCTCGGTTCCCGTGACAGTCAGAGGAAGCTAATTCAGGGGAGATGCTGTGATGGCTGTTCAGGCACCCTGGCCCCAGCGCCCACGGGAGCCTGCAGGGCGGGCAGGGCCTTGGGAGAGCGGCCAGCCAGCTGCTGAGAGGGATGTGGGCTGAGGGTCAGAGGCGGACCCACCATGCTTCTGTCCCAGGCCCCCCCCCCCCCCAGGGCCCTCCTCCCCCCTCCTCCCCCGAGGGCCCTCCTCCCCCGCGGGTCCTCCTCCCCCCTCCTCTCCTCCCCCACAACCCCCCCCTCGGGCCCTCCTCCCCCCTCCTCGGGCCCTCCTCCCCCCTCCTCCCCCTCGGGCCCTCCCCACCCCCCGCGGGCCCTCCCCTCCCCCGCGGGCCCCTCCCACCCCCCCGCGGGCCCTCCCCCCCCTCGGGCACTCCTCCCCCTCGGGCACTCCTCCCCCGAGGGCACTCCTCCCCCGAGGGCCCTCCCCCCCCACCCGCGGGCCCTCCTCCCCCCCTCCTCCCCCGCGGGCCCTCCCCCCCCTCGGGCACTCCTCCCCCTCGGGCACTCCTCCCCCTCGGGCACTCCTCCCCCTCGGGCACTCCTCCCCCTCGGGCACTCCTCCCCCTCGGGCCCTCCCCCCCCCCCCGCGGGCCCTCCTCCCCCCTCCTCCCCGAGGGCCCTCCCCCCCTCCTCCCCGAGGCCCTCCTCCCCCGCGGGCCCTCCTCCCCCCTCCTCCCCCGAGGGCCCTCCCCCCCCTCCTCCCCGCGGGCCCCCCCCCCGCGGGCACTCCTCCCCCTCGGGCCCCCCCCCCCCCCCCCCCCTCCCCGCGGGCCACTCCCGAGGAAGATGGGGAAGTCCCAGTGGCGTGGCTTTGTAGTCTGGCCTGCACGTGTCCGCCGTGACCAAGACTGTCCCCCATTCACTCATCTCTGCTCGCTCTCCGCTGCAGGGAACTCCGGCTGCGCAACTACGTCCCCGAGGATGAGGACCTGAAGAGGAGGAGGGTGCCCCAGGCCAAGCCCGTGGCAGGTAGGTGGCGTCTCCGCCCTGGGCACTGTCAGGTGCCTCCTGGAAAGGAAGCTGGCAGTGCCAGGCTGGAAGCTGGGCCCCTAGCACCCTCCCGCCACCTCCTGGCAGGTGCACCCGTGGTCGGCCCTGGTGACCACAGAGCAGCAGGCAGGGCTCTGCCCTGCTCGCACCCCAGCTGGGAGGCCTCCTAGGGGCCTTGGAGGGAAGAGGCCACACCTCAGAGGAACCCTTGGGCTGAGACCCCGACGAGGGGCCAGCCACGCAGGTGCTGCGAGAGCAGGACGCCCCAGGTGGAGGTGTGACAGTGCCGGGCCAGGGCCGGGAGAGGTGGTCTGCGGGGCGAGGGCCACTGCCGGGCCTGCACCCGCCAAGTGTGGGCAGCAGCCAGGAGCCAGGAACATCGGCCAGCGGCGGGCTGCCCCCGGCCACCTGCAGCAGAGATGCCGGGCGCTTCTTGTCACCTGGGCCCCTGGCTCTTTTAATCTTCACTTTTGTTTTCAATTAGATGAGTATTAAGTGAATAAATACATTATCTTGTAAAACAGCAAAGTGCTGCCCATTCTGCCACACTGTCTGCTTCCTCATCTCCTTGCCCCTGAAATGCCCGTGTGTCCTTGGTGTTGTGGGCCCCACGGTGGTACGGGGGCACCTTGGCGGGGGCAGTAAGGCAGGACGGGAGAGGGGCAGGGAGCTGGTCCCATGCCTCGGGCAGTACCCATGGCTGGAGGGGGTGAGGCAGGGCGGGGCTGAGCTCGGAGGCGGGCCCACCCTCCTGTCCCGGCCCTTCTCCTCCAGAGAGGAAGGTGGGGAAGCCTGGCCTGCACGTGTCTGCGGTGACAAGACTCCCCTGCCCTCCATCCTGAGGGAGCGGGGGGCAAGTGATGGGCCTGGCAGGGCCCGTGGCCCCAGGTTTGGTGCCAGGGCGCCCAGCGTCTGTGCCCAGGGTCAGGCCCCCTGCCCCCGGCCCCAGTCAGGCTGCCTGGAGGCCCAGGTGCGCCGAGTGCACCTCCAGGTGGCCGTCCCCGTCGGGCACACGTCTGCGTGGGATGGGAAGAAGGCCCAGAGCCTGCTCTGGATGTGTTCACAGCTGGGGGTGGAGTCCCGATGGCTTTCCTCCTGGGAGCCCCAGCCTTCCTGCAGAGCCGCCTTCCAGGGTCTCTCTGACTGGCTGGGGGCCGAGGGGCCCTGCCTGCACCCTCTTCCTTTGCCGTGGCTGCAGCTGCTGTCACCAGGCAAGTGGCAGCCTCTCCCAGCCCCTGTCGTCTTGCTCCCTCTAGTGGAAGAGAAGGTGAGGGAGCAGCTGGAGGCGGCCAAGCCCGAGCCCATCATCGAGGAAGTGGTGAGTGGCAGGTGGCGGGTGGCCCGTTCTCGCCGCTCCTGAGGCCCTTTTCTCCTGCACCTGCTCTCCTTTCCCCTCTTCTCTTCCCTTCTTTTTCCCCTTCCCACCGCCCACGCCCCCCTCTCCCCCTTTCCCCTTTCTTCTTCCCATTGTCCTACCTCTGGCCCTGCCCCCCTCCTTCCTTTGGTGGGGCCCCTCTGGCCCTGACAGGGTCTCCTCCCTCCCCAGGACCTGGCCAACCTCGCACCCCGGAAGCCTGACTGGTGAGTGCTGCAGGGGGAGGGCCCGTGCGCACGAGGGCGGGCTCAGGGCCGGGCCGGCCGTTCCCCTCGTCCGTAAGTCTGTCAGGGACAGCGCCACAGGGAGGTGTGGGCCTACGTCCTGGGAACTCAGAGCCAGGGGACGGCTTGGTGCCTTCTGGGAGCTTCCGCTGTACAGGAGGAGCAAGAGCCACAGGGCACTGGGCAGGCCGCTCCTGGACAGCGACCGCGGAGCAGAGGAACCAGCCACCGCGCACACTTGGACTCAGTGCCCGGCGTGCGGCGGGCCTGGGCCAGGGGCATGGCCGTGCTGGATCCGGGAGGGTGCAGAGGGAGCAGAGCGTCCTGGCTGTTCCTGGCGCCTGAGGGGCCGCAGGCAGGGTGGGCCCAGGGCCACACCGGCCAGCCTTCAGCCTCCGGCCTCCTGCCCCCTCCCTGCGGCAGGGACCTCAAGAGAGACGTCGCCAAGAAGCTGGAGAAGCTGGAGAAGCGGACCCAGAGGGCCATCGCCGAGCTGATCCGTGAGTACAGCCTGGGAGGCGGGTCCCTGCCCTCTGGTGGCCCCGGCCCAGCGCCCCTCTCACCCCCCTGTCTTCCGTCTGTCCAGGGGAGAGGCTGAAAGGCCAGGAGGACAGCCTGGCCTCTGCAGTGGGCGCCACCAACGAACAAGAGGCCTGCGACTCGGACTGAGCTGCTGTGGGAGGAAGGCCCTGTGCAGGCTGGGCTGAGCTGGCCATCACTCCCCTTTGCCTTCAGAGCAGCGGCTCCCACCCTGTCAGGGAGCCCGCCCTGGGGAGTCAGCTCCTTGTCTCCCGAGAGGTCCCACCTCGGAGTGGGGGAGAGCAGAGCAGCTGTGTGGGCCTGCGCACGTCTGTACGCCTGTCTGTATTGTGGACTTTTCCCCGTAAATAGAATTAAGCAGACCCGTGTGTGGCAGAGATCTATCCAGTATTGCCTGGGTTCTTGGGGTACTTGGGTTTGGGACCCAGACAGAGTGTATAGGGGTGATGCTGGATTGACGGAGCCCTGTGTGGGGCTGAGCATGTGTGCTGTCCTTCTGGGCTGGGCAGCGGGCATCTCCGAGCCCTGAGGGACAGAGTCAGTCCTGGGACCTGTGGGGGCCAGGCCTGCAGCGTTCCGTGGGGCAGCGGAGCCCCTCACAGTGGGAGAGGGAGGAGCCCGGGCCCAGCAGCGGTCAGCTCGGACGCATTGCCACCACGGCTGGAACCGAGGTTCTGTGGAAAAGGAGCAGAAAGGATGCTGCGAGGGCAGCCGGCAGGGCCTGCCACCAGCAGCAGGAAGAAGTGGTGAGCAAAGATTGGCAGACATTGCAAAATTCAACATGGACCTGGCAAGACAGAGATAGCAGCAAAAAAAGACACAATTAATATAAATATTAGGAGTGAAATAAGTGATCACTATGGGTTCCCCAGACTAAGGACAGGAAGGGGTGAGTTTGACAGGCTGATGAAATGAGCCAATCCTTGTAAAGCACAGACTGCCACAGTTCACTCCAGATGAAGGAGATGGCTTGCATAGCTCTGTAACCATTAAAGACCCTGAATTCATGATTAAAAACCTTGAAAAATCTCCAAGCCCAGGTGTTTTTACTGGAGAGTTAATGTACAGGTTTAATGCAACTCCAATAAATCCCAATAAGATCTTAAATATAGACAGGATTATTGTAAAATGTATCAGGAGCCCTGACCGTTGACTCAGTGGACAGAGTGTCAGCCGAGGAATGAGGGTTCCCAGGTTTGATTCCGGTCCAGGGCTCACACCTTGGTTACAGGCTCTATCTCTGGCCCCAGTCCGGACACGTGTGGGCAGCCAATCCATGTGTCTCACATCGATGTTTCTCTGCCTCCCCCTCATCCCCTTCAACTCCCTAAAAATCGATGGAAAAAATATCCTCATGAGGATTAACAAAAAAGTGAAATATATCAGGAAAGGCAAAAGAACTAGAACAGCTCAGACGCTCACTAGAAGACTAAAGCATGAGGAGTCTTGAACCATCCGGGAGAGGAGGGAAGGCAGGCACACATCACGGAGGAGACGGGGTCGTCAGAAGTGGCCACTCACGTCTGACAAAGGTGCACGTGAGCTCCGCGGAGGAGACGGTCTCCAGCGTGTGTGCCGGAGCGACGGGGCAGCACAGGCGAGAGGAGCCCCAGCCTGAGCCTTGGCTGAAACTAACGAGGGCCAGAGATTGACATGTAAAATGTGAAACTATCACAGCGCTCAGGAGAAAACCTTCAGGACCCTGAGCTTGGTAAAGAATTCTTAAGACATGAGACCAAAAGCACAATCCATAAAGGTATATTGTGAAATGTGACTTAACCAACTGGAAACGCTTCTGCTCCAACAGAGTCTTAGAGAATGAAAAGCTGCAGACAAAATATTTGCAAAGCGTGTATCTGATAAAGGCCTCCCAAGAGGAACATAATAAGGAATTACCAAAATGCACCAGTGAAAGGGGAGGAAAGCCCGATAGAAAATGGGAAAGACAAGAAGGGACCTCACCAGGTGCCATCAGCGCAGGCACCTGAAAGCTGCTGAGCACCGCGGCGGCAGGGCAGTGCCGACGAGCCGTGCGGGAACAGCTGCAGGAAGCCGGGGACCAATCCTGGCAGGACCTGGGGGAAGTAAACGCTAGTCACTGGGAAATACTTGGGCAATTTCCTCAGTGGTCTTCACATAAAACCCAGCAGCCACGCTCCTGGCATGTAGTTCAGAGACGCACGCTGTCCACACAGCGGCAGAGCAGTGCAGGAGCCGTGTCCACGGAGGCTCGTAGCCGGGAGCGTGAAGGCAGGTCGTCTGTCCGGACGTGTGGTTAAAGGAACACGGTGGAGGTTGCCAAGTCAGCCAGACCCAGGTCTAGGCTCGGTGTGTTTCCCTGCCTTCGGTTTGAAATGAAAACACTGTCAAACGGTGCAATGAGCCTGGCAAGAAGCCCTCACACACAGCAAGCGGTCTTCAGGGCCTTCCTTCCCCGGACTAGTTTTTATTTATTTATTTTTATATTTTATTGATTTTTTACAGAGAAGAAGGGAGAGAGATAGAGAGCTGGAAACATCGATGAGAGAGTGTCATCGATCAGCTGCCTCTTGCACCCCCCCCACCGGAGATATGCCTGCAACCAAGGTACATGCCCTTGACCGGAATTGAACCCGGGACCCTTCAGTCCCCAAGCCGACGCTCTATCCATTGAGCCAAACCAGTCTCGGCTTTTTCTTTCTTTACAATTTAAGTTTTACTCTGAAAACACACCCACAGCTCTGCCCGATGGCTCAGTTGGTTGGAACATTGTCCCGTACAACAAAAGGTGGTGGGTTTGATCCCTAGTCAGGGTGCCTATGGGAGACAACTACTTCTCCTCCTCCTGCTCTCTCTAAACATCATTAAAACACATTCGTGGATGAGGATTGAAAAAAACACCACAAAATTCCCTTCAGTAGGTTAAACTGGCGCATCTGTACCATGGAATACTGTTCGGCAGTGAAAAGGCACGGCTGTTGATAGAAGGAACGGCTCGGAAGGAGTGAAATACATTACATGTGTAGTAAGATCCTGTCTCTGGTTTCCTCATAGAGACAGATTGGTGGCTGCCAAGGTTTGGAAGGGGCCTCCTGGGCCTATAAAGGGGCAGCTTGAGGGAGATCTCTGTGGGGATGGGATAGCTTTTGGTGGCAGTGGGGAGTAAGCAAGTCCACACGTGAGCACGTGGAATGAACCACGGGTTGCTTCTGGATTTATTGTGGTACTAATGGCCTGGTGCATGAATTCGTGCACATTGGAAGGAAATTAATTAGAAGAAATGTTTTAATATCGCTATTCGCCTTTTCGCTATAACAAAAGTGTCAACTAAATTCATGATCGACAATGCCGGAGCCGGGCATCCGGGCATCCATGGGTCCTGAGCCCTGAGTGCCTCATGGTGCTGGGCACTGTCAGGGGCTGCCCCCAGGGCTGACCTTCCCCGCGGTCTCGGGGCCTGCTGGGAGCCCTCCCTCCTGCCAGTCTGAAGGCCTCACTGGCTGGCCATTGCACTGGAACAGACAGCAAGTGGTGGGATCTGGTCCTCAGGGCATAGCGGGAGCATCTGGCCCCGAGATCACAGGATGAGAGTCTGCCAGAGCCTTATCCCCTCTGTCCTCACACGGCCACTGGGGGGCAGCAGGAGACACCGTGCCGCCTGCTTCCCTCAGCTGAAGTGTCTTGTGCAATGCACCCCACCCCCTTTCCCACGGGGTCTGTGTCTTTAAGTGGCTGATACTAGAGATGATTCCAAGAGTGGGTCTCAGTCAACCCAGAACCCAGCACCATGGGGGCCAGGTCCTCCGGACAGCAGCACCCCAGCCCCACCCCCACCCCCACCCATGCTGGCCTTGCCCCGGCTTCAGCCACAGCCTCTCGGGGACAGCACAGGCACGTGTGGGGCTGGGCACGTGTGAAGTGTGGGCAGAATACCGGGGTGTGGGGCCCAGTAGCCTAGGGGTGGGCCCATCTGTAGGGTCCCGCCCCCTGAGCCCGGCCAGCCTCAGCATTTGTTGGCTCTAAGATGCCTATTGTGTCAGGGCCATCGGGGGGTGCACGTGTGAGGAGGATGCTGGGGGCTCGCCCACCAGAAGTGGTGATTCACAGAGGAGTGGTGGTGTGCCTGCTGGGCCCTGGGCCGCTGCCCCTGGCACAGGCGCGGCCGCAGGGTGCTGTGGGCAGGGTGTCGGGCTGCCTTTCCCGGCCAGCCTGCCCTTCTCTGTATTTACTGGTTTTCTCTAAATGTTCCCATTACTCAGGCCTCTGTGGGCACGGACAGAAATAAATCCCACAAGGCGGGCCCGCCAGGAGCCGGAATCCGATCCCTCCGAGGCCGGAAGAGGCCCCTGTGCAGAGGCACTCGCCACAGTGGCCCACGCACCCTGTGCGCACATGCATGCACGTGCGTGCCCCCACACATATATACCCCACAGACACCCACATGCCCGTGCAGGCACCCCCCCCCCACACACACTGTGCACACTAGGGTCACGGTCATTCTCGAGGTGCCGGGCAGCCAGTGGTGAGGCCGTGGCCTTGGGCATGAGAATGGCCTCCTGGGAACGCAGGCCCACGCTGCCAGGGCTTCTGAATTTTTAAGAGAAACTGGAAAGCTGAATTTTTATGTGAAATATCCTGATTTTAAATGTTGGCTCAAGATGTTGAAAATACTGTGAGAGCCAAACCAAACATGACTCTGGGCCAAATTCCACCCACAGGCGGCGTCTCAGACCGCCGGTCCGCACAGACACACACAAATAGACACACACGCATATACACACAGACACATACATAGACATCCATACAAACAGGCACACACAGACACACCAAAAGATACACAGACATAGATACATACACAAATGCATACACAACACATATGCCAGTGCACATACAAGAGAACCAGGGACTGACAGACATAAGACAGGCACACATACGAGTGGATATACACATATACGAGTATATACACACATGTACACAGGCACACGTGGCAGGGAGCACCCCCTCCATCACCGATGTGGCTGAGCTGTGGGAGCAAGTAGCCTCTGGGCAGGGCCAGGGCATCGTGGCTCACCCAGGCGCCTGACTCCCATGCTGGAGTGGGAAAGGGCTGCTGGGCAGTCAGGGAGGGGCCGGTGGGCAGGGCTGCCTGCAGAGCTCAGGGTGGGGGGTGAGGGGCCTCGTGTGCCAGGGTCGGGGAGGGTTTGGACCACAGGTTCTGAGGCTCTGAGGGAGCCCACGCCTCATACCCTGAACCAGCCTGGCCTGTCCCCTCCTCATCACCGGGCAGCAAGGCCAGCGGGAGCCCCCAGGCCGCGGGCCACATGGCCCCAGTGGCTCTGAGGACTGAACAGAGCTTCCAGTCAGGATGAAGGGGGAGGAACCCCCTCTACCCACTAACGGAGCAGGAGGTGCCTGATTAGTGCGGGCACACCAGGCGCCCTTCCCCCACGTGGGAGGTGGAGACCTCCGGCCCTGGCCTGACCCCAGGCCCTGGACCAAGGAACGCACAGGAGCCACCCCCCGCCTTTGGCCCCTCCCTGTGCGGCGGGCGAGGGGGCCCCAGTCTGCCCGGGGTAAGGCTGAGGGCCTCGTCCGGCAGGCAGAACCCAGCCTGGGGCCGGCTCACACCGCCTGGGGCCGGCTCACACCGCCTGGGGCCGGCTCACACCGCCTGGGGCCGGCTCACACCGCCTGGGGCCCGCTCACACCGCCTGGGGCCGGCTCACACCGCCTGGGGCCCGCTCACACCGCCTGGGGCCGGCTAACACCGCCTGGGGCCGGCTCACACCGCCTGGGGCCCGCTCACACCGCCTGGGGCCGGCTCACACCGCCTGGGGCCGGCTCACACCGCCTGGGGCCCGCTCACACCGCCTGGGGCCCGCTCACACCGCCTGGGGCCGGCTCACACCGCCTGGGGCCGGCTCACACCGCCTGGGGCCGGCTCACACCGCCTGGGGCCGGCTCACACCGCCTGGGGCCGGCTCACACCGCCTGGGGCCCGCTCACACCGCCTGGGGCCGGCTCACACCGCCTGGGGCCCGCTCACACCGCCTGGCGACCTGGACGGAGCCTGACCTCGGGGGAGGCTGTGTGGCCGGGATCACACGCACATGGAGGCAGCAGGCCCAGGCCCACTCCCGGCTCTGCCAGCAGCGGCTCTGCCAGCCAGGCGTGTTTCCGTTGGCCATGCAGCCTCGGCTGGCATCTGCCCCGTTGGCTGGGCCCCACCTGCCTGTGCCCAGCAAGGCCCACTCCTCAGCCCGCCGCCTGGTCCCTGTCCACACCTGCCTCCCAACAGCCAGCCCGCCTGGACCTGCTCGACCCCGGCAGGGTCACATCCCTTTTGAGCTAAGAGGCCTCGGCGCCCCTCTTCCCATGGCCTGGGCGAGGTGAAGTGTGGGCGTCACACCTGCTGACAGGGGTGGGGTGGGGGTACCCCGCCTTTGTCTGGAACACAGTCGCCTTCCTTTCAGACCTCACGGAGCCCTGGTGGGCGACCACTGGACCAGAAAGCATTGCAGGCTGAGTGGGCAGGGCCGTCTCTTCGAGGACCCTGTGCCCCCAGACCCACTCTGCGTGGGAGCTGTGGCTCACCCAGCCGGCTCTGCGCCCTGTGCTCCGGGCCCCGGGCAGGGTGCCTCCTTCCAGGGTCTGCAGGGCCCTCTCCCACCTTCCTGGGCGACGCGGAGTCCGGGGTAGCCCACAAGGTGCCGGACGCTGGCGGAGGCGGCTCGGCTGGGGTCGGGGTCCTGGGCGCCCTCCTCCCGGCCGCCGCCTCGCTGGTGTTTACATGTTCCCTGCGGGTTGGCTCGGCCGCGAGGCCGCGATGCGAGAAGTGACCCTGGCTTCAGCCCCTGCTCCAGGCAAACAGGGTCCTGACTGCCCGCCAGGCCCCTGGGGCTCCCACTTCTTCTGCCAGCACCTGGATGGCCTGGGCAGACTCGGCCGGGCGGGGGCGGGG